AACTTTCATTTTTATTTTCAATTTACCCCTACTTTCTTGGTGCAAATGTTAATGTTTTAAAACTATTTACCTCTCTAGACCCTCAGAAGAAATGTAAAGTTAAAATAAACCTTTTCATCCCTCCAAATGATCGAAAACTAATTAAAATAGGGGTCATATTAGGATGCAGTAGGTCATTTTACATAGGAATGGTGTAAGGGGTCGAAAAAAATTTTTTTTGCCGACCAGAGTTATCTCATTTAGATGTGACCCTTGTAGTATTGTTAAAAGGTTTAATAAAAAATATTCTGTAAATGTATAATTCAATTTCTTTTTAAATTTCTAAGATACCGATTAGTGAAATTTTGTGGAATGCGAAAATATATTTTTTTTGAAAACACTACTGAGTAATACCCGATAAATGTGAAAGCTATTTGTTTAAAAAATTACTCGGTCATTTGGTAGTGCAAAAAATTTCAGATAATGATTCATTTAACAATTAAATACTCTTTGATAACGATGACTTCAATCATCTTTTCATAGATTTTCTTTTTGGAAATCAATTTTTGTTTGCAAATATGGTATTGTTTAAATCAATTGTTTTTTTTTTTGTTATTTATTCATTGATTGGATCTAGTCATGTTTATATTTTTTATTTATCAAATTTGTTCAAAATAAAGTATCATTTTTATTTATGTCATAGTGTTTAAAATCCATACCAACCTCTACTGACTTTATTCACTTTCTGTTACAATATTATTCCAACTCGATATTAATATCGAGATTTATTTATAGGCAAGCTTACAATAACGGAATTATTTTGACGCAAGCTTGACAATTTTGTTAGCAAAATCAAAAACGAAAAATATATCCTATGTCGCTTATCAGAATCAGATTGCCCTACTATACAGCAAACCTTGGAGTACTGTCGGGAAACATGTATTGTGAAAATAATTTATTTGGGACCGATATATCCCTGCAGCAATGTAATATTTGTCCACAAACGATTTTGAAATACTTTTAGTAATAAAATTAAAACCAACTTGCGTCAAAACAGTTCGTCGTCAATTAATATTAAAATTTTCAGCTTTTCATCCATTTTTCAATTTTTTTTTATAAGAAAATTGAATGAAAACATCAAACTGACAAGGCAACCCCTTCAGCGGTACAAAAAAATCTATTTCCAATAAAATCTACATATCACGTTGACAGTAACTAAAAAAGAAGCTACTTCTTCAATGATTTTCAAAATTCTTTCAGGCCATCATTTTTTTTTACAAAAAATGGTCGTTGTGTCTAAAATCAACTGTCGCAAAAATCAAACTTTTCTCCACCGCTAAACGATATTTCCACAAATTTCTTTTTATATTTCTCAGGTCAAATTTGTGGATTCGTTTTTCGGTGAACAAATTTCCGAAATAAAATAAGAAAAAAAAAATTGAGCAAATAATATACATACAACAATAAAACTACATGCAATAACACGTAAAAGTTTAAAAATAACAGGATAAAAAATTTTATTAATTCAGTTTCAAGCAATATTGAGCTGTAAATAATTGAATTCTTACAGAGATTGCCATAACAAGTCTAAATATGACAATGATTGGACGGTGGCATACAGTTTTAAATCATCCTGTACAAGAAAAGTGGGTATTTGACTCATTATGGCGTATCTTACAACAATTACAACATAGTAAAAATATATTTATTATTTGTAAGACAAACTGTAGATTTAATGCAAAATAAGAATCTTAAAAATGTAGTAAAGTTGCATATCGACACACACGTTTCCTGTATAAAATTATACCCTCTAATAAACTATACAATCTGGAATAGTTAATGATTCAACCAATAAGATAAGCAAAATTTTTCTACCATCACGTATAATGAAGTTTGTTAAAACACGTAAATAAATTTCTTAAAATCTTAAATGATTTTTTGAATTGCAAATTATTTAGAACTCAACAAGAATAATTTCGAACATTTGTTAAAAATAACTCGTAGTATCTAACATAGGCTATTGCTCAAAAATGAATATTTTTTTATGACCCAGTTCTAGAAGAAATTCGAAAAAATTAAATGAAAAAATTACGTTCAGCTCTTAATAAAACGAGGATGTATTTATTTATACATACATGACCCACCACATTATGTACAGGGAGCAACTGACTAGCTGTAGATAGATAGCATTTTAGAATGATATAACGCGGCTAAAAATACGACAAAACTATTTTTTGATTGTAATCAATGTAGGACCCAAAACAATTTCCTTTGCATTAGATTGTTGCTTCTACAGTGGCATGCAGAAATATTTTGTCTATAAATTATTTGAAAAACTACCTGCGGTGGCCTTCTGAGTCATTTAACAGTTCTGCGAAGCTCTCCTTTCTGTTAGGATTAAATATAATTTTAACAACCAGATGTCCTAACCAAAACTATAAATATTTCTCCATTGCGATTATTTTTGAATCAATTTTTAATGAAAATCATAGCTACCCTAACACAGAATTTTAGAATGTTCTCATCTTGGTTGTGCTTTCGTGTATATAGAATAATTATAATCCCAAACAGGTTTTTTTTTAATTAAAAATCTAAAATAAAATCATTTGAAAATTAAAAAAATAAGTTTTAAAGTGATTTTTCTTATTTTAAAAATTTGCGAATAAAAAGAATAAGATAATAATACTATCTTGAAAACAAATAAAGTCATGGGTGAATCTTGTATATACCTACAGTAAAATAGTATAAAAAATATTAACAAAAAAAACGTGTAAACATGTGAAGCAACTCTTTTTGCAAAAGATTCAAACATTATATTGCACTTTTTTGCATGAAACAAAATCATTACAAAAATATTAGTCATTTTTCCGTGGACCATGTTGGATATTTTTGTCAGTATATATTGAATAACAAAACATTTTCGACTCTCCCTGTATTTGCGATAAAACTGTAGACGCAGAACTGCATAAAAATGATTATTTATATTTTAAATAAACCACATATCTGCTATTAATCATTTTAGACAGTAAAAATATAAATCTACAGTTTCAAGAAATTAAAAAATATACAGGTTGAGTCGTTTCACCATTTGGCATTTCAATGAGCTCTCAAAAATACTCCAACGAAAATTAAACATTGCTGGAAATTGACCCAAAATGAATTGAAATGTACAGAGTTGAATTATTACATCACTCACAACATACAAAGAGCGAGATATCAGTGAAGTAAGAGGATCAGGGGCATATCCAGAACACTCATTATAAGCTAATCCATGTATACAAACAATTTATACTAACTGACTCTTTTAAAATTTTCAATTTCACGTCATAAACAGCAACTTCTGCATGAATAATTCACAGATATTTCAAAAGCAAATTCGTAAAATATATTTAACAAGCTTATAGCTACAAGATTCATTTTTAATCCACTGTTAATTAGTCTTTGTGCTTTTATTTGTAGTCACCTCAAAATTAATTTCAAAAGCAGCCGTGGTTCCTATGAAAATAAGATTTGGCAAAATGTAAGGAGAGTCCCGAAAATTCATATGTTTGGGATATAAATTAAAAAATAGCAGTGACCAAACTTGTGAACTTTCGGGAATTTAATAAATGAGGTTAATATTAAATAAAAAGCGTAAAAATAAATCAATGAATTAAACTTTTTGTTTAATAAATAATTATAACCTACCTATTCATTATTGATAATCGGATAGTTCAGTCGTTTTTTCGTTCTTCCTTGATTACAGCAATGCCCTAATCAGTGAGGGTTATCATTTTATTTATAAGAATATTGTTTATTATATTTATCAATTGTATACAAAATATATTTAGACTTGGATCGTCAATATGTATATTATCAATAAAATTAGGGTTTAAAAATAGTTATGGGCGAAAATCAGCCTGGCATAATTAATAGTTTATTTACTTAAACTTATTTCTAATCAGCTTATTAATCCAGGTAAAATTGGTTAAAGGGTCGTTTTATCTTTCAGCAGAAGATTCCTCATTAGCATTGAATTTGTTATGAGTAAATTCAAAACAACTGTCTAGACCCTAATTTACTAGAAAATTCTTTAATTTGAGTCGGGTGTCCATTTAAATATCGTCTGAGTCTACTGTTCCTGTTTTAATTAGTCACATACAGGGGTAGGCAAACCTTCGTCGTAATCTAAAAAACCTAAAATATTGTCCAGATAGCTAAGAATGAAAAAATTTCTGGATTTGAAATTCAGTACTGACCATAAGAAAAATTAAAAACTTACCATAAACGGTTATTCACTTGTATTACATAATCATATATTTATAAAGATAATAAACTCTTTTGTCTTGCAATATTTTAACTGGAACTAAGAGAATTCCCATCACATTGTATAAGAGAATCATATTAGAAAACCCCTAATTTCCTTTTCTATTGGCTAATGGCTAAACCGGGCGCGTTTGTCGTATGTATCATAATATGATACTTTTTATGCATAACTGTATTAGAATGACCCGAATACAACATACTACTTAAATACTTGAGGTCCCTATAAATTGAAGTTTAGCATTATTTCTTAGATTTATTCGCATCTGACTGTCCTTTCTTGCTATTCTTACTCTGCTTCTAGTTATCTCAACATCAAAAGTACTTGAAGACAAAAGAGTTTAATATATTTATAAATATATGATTAATACAAGTTCCAAAATGAAAATGAACATGCTCTAATTTATTATTGGATCATCTTTTATACAAGAAAATGTTCAGATATTTTCTTTTGAACTCCATTGATGAATACCTATTTTGAAGTTTAAGGAGTTACATGGATTACTTTGTGAGTTTTGCCGCAACCTGTATATATCCAACGATGCACAAACAGATTGGTAGAGCAAAGTAAGGAACAATTTTTTCGAATCAATCGTCAGTCAGACAGTGTGCTTTCGAATGGTCAGCTAGTATACATTGCAGCAGTATAAAATACTTGGATATGATACTAAAAATTACATCTAACCTGATTGAGAGCACTAAGGAAGTATCAAGTTTGGCTACGTAACCGGCGGTAGTTTTCCTGAATGTAGTGTTGATGACCTGTCATCGTTAAGTTGAACACGACTATTTGAAAATAAACCGCTTGATTTGGGCGTCCGAGGACCAGTTGGTGTCGATCTGGCCATGCCGGCGCTATTTTGTTCCTTCTCGTTAGGCGGCCTAGGAAGCCTTCTCCTCAACCAACCGTGTCTCAAAGCCGCACTTGGTGTCATCCTGGCGTCCGGATCCCACTCCAAACATCGTTGTATGAAATCAAGAAACAGCGGGTCGTCGCAACCTTTCAAAGCCCGTTTCAAGTCTTTAGAACCGGGCGGGCCTCTAGGCTTTCCTCTCCTGCTTAAACCACCGCTCAGTACCACCGTACCGTCTGGCAACGTCGAACAAGTACAGTACCGCGGGATGCCCTTCGAGCTGATGAAATTTTTTGCTCGTTTGGATTGATCTAGCAACCTTTGCGGTGGCAAACCCAGGAGTTCCATTATACAAGCCAGCTGATCGGCCTCGTCTTCTCCCGGTAGAAGAGGGAAACCTGTTAACAATTCTGCAAGGATGCAGCCCAACGACCACATATCTATGGGCATGCCGTAACGTGCTCCTAATATTACTTCTGGAGCTCTGTAGAACCTCGACTGGATGTAGGTGTAAACGCGATTTTGCTCGTAGCACGATGATCCGAAATCTATTACCTGAAACAAAGAAAAATCGTATCAGTGCAATAATATTTGTGTCCTACTATGTTCAATTTAGAACAGGCATGGGCAACCTTTTTTTGTGGAGGTCCGAATAAAAAAACTTAATGTGAGTCGCCGGCCAAAACAAAACAGTCAATAATTGTAATAACATACCTGATATACCAACTGTTATACCTAAATTTTAAAAATATATTAATCTAGTCAAGTAGAAAATTTTGAGTATTTTTTAATTTACCTACTAAAACGACTCCAGTACCAGATGGTATACCTGACATTTTCTTAAAAAATTGTATTTATAGTTTGACTGAACGACTTTAAATTATTTTTAATTTGTCCTTATTGTTAGTGTTGCCTGAAGTTTGGAAGACTGGTTTTCTGGTTCTAGTATTCAAGGGTGGAGACAGAGATGATATCAAAACCTATAGAGGAATTTGCAATCAGTCCGCTATACCAAGTGTTTGATAAACTTATTTACAATGATTTACTGTGGCAATGTAAAACTATATTTGTTGATAATCAATATGGGTTCCTGGGGGGGGGGGGGGGGAAGTCCACAACTACTAACTTGGTTTCGTAAGAAGTTACTCTGTTAGATGCCTTGGAGAGTGGTGAACAATTCTATTGGGGGCAATTGGTTTTCATGATAATTTGGTAGCTTAACGGAAATGGTTCAAATGGTTCAAATGGTAAAAATCAATAATTTTATTTCAAAACAATCAACAGTTAGGTGTAAATTCTTCGCTTCGCTCTTTGATTTATTATTAAAGATTTATTTATAGTTTAATATTTACTTCATCTTAAGTTTTATTTTACATTTTTCCAAGACATTTTATTTTCCTGATACACTCCTTTTCAGGGTGGTATACCCTGATTACACGTTGTGTTCCCAAATAGTATCGTCAACCTTACATAATATATTGGTGGGATATATGATTTAGGGAAACACCGATACGACAGAGTCCAGCAGGTCCTGGAGCTCGGCGGTGAGTGGGAGATCTTCAGAGTCAGAGAGTAACCTTATGTTAGGTTGAGGGAGTTTTTTTTTTTCAGTTTGCACAATAGTGGGAGGCGCCGACGGCGCCAAGGGGTTTGTAGTGTTTTGAGCCTTTCAGAATTATGTTAATTATATGTATTTTACCTTAGATTAAAATGCAAAGCAGTTGGACATTATTTGTCCATATTCACCGCGACAATTTCCAGAGTGTTTGGAAACGAGTAAGAATGGGGTTCTGGAGATGTTTTCGAAACTTTCTCTGCTGAAAGAGCGAAAGGAAACATATTGCCATCGTCGGAGTATACGTGACGAAACAAATAATTTTATTATCTATTATTTGTTACTTTAATACCAAAACGTGTATATTCAAGGAAATTATTATGATAAGCTTTCAAATGCAAAGAATGTATTTTCGTAACTTGAAATCGAGAGATTATCTTCGGGATTGGAAGCATGGACAACTGTTTTTGTATTAATGTACACGTTGTTTCAGAATTGACGTTATTTGCTAAATCACATCACTAAAAGACGCAAATGACTACCTACTCTTATTGGATAATTCCAAGGACTCTTTAGATGTTTTTTATTATTTAAAAACAATCCCATATAATTTCCTAATTGCAAAAATTTGGAGATCTTAAATTATACAAACATTTGAAATTGGTAGATCTCACTAGGGCAGTTTTTCCGTATATTAGACAAGCAGCCCTCATGTAATTAGTCATTTATTAAAAACACATGGCAGCCATACATTTATTTAATTGTTTTTTGTATATATGATAATAAGGATGATAAAGGGTGGGTAATATATAATGAATAACCTTGAACAAGAGATTTTATAAGCCGTAATTTAATAACAAGTCTCTAAATATGAGTCAAATACACATTATTTATTCAAGTGTAAAATGAAAATTCTGTTTTGTAATTGGTCACAAGCTACTGAGTTACCAATTTATTATTATTAATTACTTCCAATAAATCACGTGACAATGAATTAACTATTTAAAAGTACACTACTTTTTTTTCAATATTTATTAATTGTGTCAAATGATATTTGTAAATGATTAGATTTTCTATTAAATAATTGTAACTGATTTTGTTAAATAAAACACCAATAAATAAAATTCAACGCAAACGAAATATTAATACAAAACTATTACCCTGTAGAAGGGAAACAGTAGAAAATTATATTTAACTTTTCTTACAATAATTCATCAGCTGTACAATTATTATATTTTAATTTTACAAATTTTAAAGTTAAATCAAATTTAAGTATTTATTTGTTAAACAAACAAAATATACGAGCGACGTTATCCCTACAGCCCTACAGAAAAAATGCTCCTTCGGCTAATACCTCGATAAGAATTTAATTAAATCTATAAAGACACACTCTAACTTTGAACTCTAGTAAATTTAAATATTTATGTTAATTATATGTATTTTACCTTAGATTAGAATGGAAAGTAGTTGGAAATTATTTGTCCATGTTCACCGCGACCTTTTCAGATCTAATGTGGCACTCCGTTATTTAGAGTATGTCGTCTAGCCTGGTCTTTTTTATTAGACAGTGACTCCCACCTGTAGTTACATGCTTGTGGTTTTTCTTCACCTAGTGTTAGAAACCTTAATGTAGCCAAGCCTTCACACTGGCACAGGACGTGCTTCTTCTGCTGATTTGATGACACTAATGTGCCATCTTAGGCGACAGTGTCCGGTAAAAAAACCTAATGTTATCCCAACGATTTGTCGTTTTTGATCCAGTAGTTCTTCAGTGATCTTGGCCGACAATTCCCTAATGAATTCTTTGGTCTATCTCAAACCTAGATAGTTATAGACTTTTTGAATCCTGTTTGATGGATACCTTGCACAATGCCTTAGCAACTCCACAAAAGGGATCGACCTTATCTGAACCTTCTCGGGATAGTTGGTTGGCCTTTTCATTTCCGTGATATCCTTCGTGGCCTGGTACCCAGGCTAAGGTCACGTTGTGTTAAATACTTAGCTCTGTCACGTCTTTTAGGTAGACTTGATTTCTGGTGAGAGAATTGTAGTTGGCAATAGTTTTGCCTGATAGTTGCCGATTTATTATTTCTCTTGCACAGTGTTGTATGGCTATTGGTTCGGCCTGGAACACTATTGCGCATTCTACTAGACTCGTTGTTATCGACTTGGGTCCGAAGATTCCAGCACAGGCTCTTTCTTTGGTTTTTTGAACAAGATTCTCAGGCTGGTATTTGAATATTTCTTTCAAATGTGTATGTAGTTAGGGATATATCAGTAGGCATTCCTAGAATATTAACCTTTTTTAACTGCTGGTATAGCCTTGTATGATCAACGCTATGTAATTGGCTCAATAGGTTTTGTCCCTGTATTATCCTGTGAATGACGTACCGGATCTGGTTTCTCCTTGTATGAAGATGTGCAATGAGGTGAGGTTTAATAATACCTCCATTGCTGCAGTGTGGTGTAGTACTCATGGCCCCTGTAGCACTCAGATAGGCCAGCCGCTAAATGCCGGTAAGTTGCTATTGCACTTGCCTACGCATGGGTCTTATCAGCCTTGTGTATAACGATATGGTCATTTTGAGGCTTTGGTCCCTCTATTTTAGCTTAGTAATCTCTAAATAAATTTTTAAAATTTTGTATTTTTTTTTTATTAGGCCGTAGAAAAAATATATTGTACAACTGGATGGTCGATTTAGATAATTCTACGGCGTCGTATTGATATTACGTCATCATATCCACGCTTGTTGCACAAACTATTATTTTTATGAATTCCCTAGTTTAATTGGATTTAAGGTGTTAAAATAAATTGAATTTCAAATTTAACAGAGTAAATTCCCAGAAATATTTCGCGATAACAATAATTAAATTAAGATAAATATTAAATTATTACAAAATATTGTGTTCTTTATTTTCATATAGTTTCTTGGTTTTGAGACTAATTAGTGTAAAACATTTCTGGGAATTTACTCTTTCTTCATGTTCAAATCAATATTCGAATTATTGAAATCCCAGCATTAATTTAAAAGAGCTCACGTATCTATAGGTAAAATTCCGGATTTTCTGAGAAATTTATGATTACATGGATATTAATTTCCAGAAATTTCAATACGTATTCCAAATTCCAATAAGCTCTTTAACCTTTTTTATACGGTTTATTTTGAATAGGCAGCCAGATCCACACAGTAGTTAACTGCTTTCACAGAAAAAGTCCTTTAGGTAAAAAATAGCAGTACTCGATTACATTTTTTTTTTGTCAAAATAGTAATCACTTACCGAATGTTTCAATAAAATATCCGACGTTAAATATTTTAAATATTAAAAATTTGTTTTAAAATAGTAGCTTAAAATTAATGCTAAACTAGATATTTCAGAGGCTGTCCAGATTATTTCCCTGCATATTAAATAAACGTATTTTATTGCTAGATGAAAATGTTATTTTCGAATAAGTTGCAAATTTTAATTTAACGAAGTTTCAGTGTCCAAGAACCCTAGAATAGAATTGGAGATAGGTAAATAAAATCTTATTTTTTTGGTACAACACTTTACTGCATTTATTTTATAATTAGGTATTACTTTTTGTAGTACCTATCTGAACGACTTTTTCAATGTTCAGGTTTAACATACTCTCTATTTCCCAAAATACAATGATGTAACATCTACTTTAAAATGCAAATAATTGGAACAGAGTTTATGGAAAGTTAAGGTTTTTTTTTTAAGATGATAATGAAGAATGGAATAGTGATAATAGTTTACATGATCCAAATTTTAACTGTTATTCAGAAGACAACTATAGCGATGAAGATGAAAGCTGTAGCTGAGAAAATAAGGCTGAAAAATGTAATAAGAGAAAAAAGAAAAATAAAGGAATGAATATAAAAAATATACCCAAAAAACAAATAAGACAATCAGAGGATAGGAATATTGGAACAAGAAGAAAAAAATACGAACATACATCAAGTCATACTATATTCAAGACTTTGAAGTTGAGCAAAAC